CTTCATTACCAAAAATAAATATAGCATAGGAAGCATAAAATACATTCTAAGGACACAAGATTTAACTGCTAAGAAATGGAAGTAAAGACACCACTGGCAAGGTATAAGCCTCAATTTACTAACCTGCAAAATGAGAAGTACTAATAAAATAGTAATAAAATAAGAAAGCAACAGGAAGTGGGACACCTGGATGGCTGTCGGTTGGGTGGCCAACTTGGGCTCAGGTAGTGATCTCGCACTCCGTGGGTTCGAGCCCCGCATTGGGCTCTGTGCTGACAGCTCACAGCCTGCAGCCTGCTTCAGATTCTGTGTCTCCCCCTCTCTGTCTGCCCCTCCCCCACTCGTGCTCAGTCCCTCTCTCAAAAATAAACAAACATTAAAAAATTTTAAAAAGAGGGGCGCCTGGGCCGCTCAGTCGGTTAAGCGTCCAACTCTTGATATCAGCTCAGGTCCTGATCTCAAGGTTTGTGAGTTCAAGCCCCACATCAGGCTCTGTGCTGACAGAGCAGACAGAGCCTGTTTGGGATTCTGTCTCTCCTTCTCTCTGCTCCTCCCCTTCAGTGCTCTCTGTCTCTCTCAAATTAAATTAAATATATATATATACATATATATGTGTGTGTGTTTATACGTAATTTAAAAGAAAGAAAGCAACAGGAAGGATGCAGAGGGTAAATTCAATCATCTTGAAATGCTGCCTATGATTCAAACTACCTACTTTCAATGGCAGAGGGATAAAAATTAAGTCAGCTAGGGAGGACTCTCAAACCCACTGCTTCATAAATAATGTGTAGACTACCAAGTACATGCATGTCTTCTTTTTTTAAACAAGCACTTTTATTATACAGGAGTTTTGCTGTCACAAAGATTTACTCATTGAGATAAGAGTAATGTTTAAAAACCTGAGTAAAAAACAGTGCTTATTGATCACACAGCCACGGTACTGGCAGGTAGACACAGTATGACACAGTCATGAAGCACTTGTTTCTTAAATGTCTGAGCCACTGCCCTGGCTCAGCACTTAAGCTAACAGTATGACCACAGTTACTTCTTTGTAAAATGTGGTTACTCATATGTCTCATATTGCAAAAATTAAATAAGTTAATATACGCGGTGTGCTTAAAATTGTGCCTGAACACAGTAAATGCCCAATAAATATGCTTATCATTAAAGTTTGTTTTTTAATTTACAATACCATGTGAAAATTCCACATGAAATAACAAGAACTGCTTATAAGATATCAACGGATTATTAAAATCAGAATATTTTAAATAAGCAAGCTTTTTTATCTGGCAATCTCACTTCTGGAAGTTCTCCTAAGGATAGAAGTGCACAAACATGTATGTATACATATCAATAATCTTTTCACTTGTAAAATAATAAAGACTGGGAAACTACCTAAACACCAACAAACAGGAAACAGGGCAGACAAGTCATGATACCCCTTTACAAATAGAATATTACAGAGCCAGTGAAAAGGATAATGTATATCTAGTCTATTGTTTGACACATTTCCTAGTAAATAAAAACCAAAACACAAAAACAACCAACATTGAAACATCCCACTGGTAATAAATATTACAACTTATATTTATGAATAAACATGCAAAGACTAAATACAATGCTCATCAAGGGGTTAAACAGGAGGATGAAGATTTCAGAGAAGTTTCTGCCTTTCCTTTGTATCTTTAAGTACAGACATTTCTTCGGTTCAAGTGACTTAAAACCTCACTTTCATCAAAGGACTGCAGTGAAAATGTGGTTATACATACAACGCACCCAGAATCCTTTGGGGAGCACAGTTATGTATTCTACCCATGTTTTATTTGTTTCACTTGTCCACAATTAGGAAGTTATTTCTGGGGTGCCTGGGTGGCTCAGTCGGTTAAGCATCGGACTCTTGACTTCGGCTCTGGTCATCGTCTCACAATTCGTGAGTTCACGCCCCGCATCCGGCTCTGCACTGACAGTGCAGAGCCTGCTTGGGATTCTCTGTCTCCCTCTCTCTCTGACCCTCCTCCACTCATGCCATGTCACACAAAATAAACGTTAAAAAAAATGTTTTTTTAAGGAAGTAATCTCTGAAACAAACATCAAAATGGATAATGTCCCTATGTTCATGAAGTTTTCTCCATACTTCAGCTGTCTTTTTTGGTAATAATTTTGTATTATTATAGAAAATGTGGGATGATGAAAAAAGCAGTAATAAGGTCACTATGTAACAGAAACCTTCAACTTTTGTACTTGATTTCCAAATAAAATACAGCAGGACTAAATAATGCCAGATACAGTTTGGGAACTTGAATCTAAATGAAATCTTCCACCAAATTACCTTCCTTCTCTGGGGAAATGGGCCAGCCATTTTCAGCAGTGGAGTTCATAAGACGGACAAGCCTATTATTCCCTTAGATAAAACCACTTGCTAATAACTATTGGGACCAAAAACAAAAAACCCTTCAAGACTGCACGGCAGTCAACACAAGTTAACTCTTAAAATTATCCAATGGGGGGGGGGGGGGGGAGGAACCCAAGCACTATCAAACATTGTAACCCACTGTTAAAGAAAATTAGTTCTGTGAGAAGTGATACAGAAATGCGTACAGAAACTTCTCTCCAGAATATCTCAGAACTTGGGCTTTATTCCAAAGAACTCTCCTTCACCAACAGGTAGATGTCATGTGATATCCAAGAGAATCACAGGGTCACCATCGCAGACCCGAAAACGTCCACATTTTTACAGAGCATATCTGTTCAAGAGAAAGGGATCAGCTCTATATGTACCATGGAACCACTCATCTCAAGAAAAGCATTTAAATGGTGCACATACACACAAATATGAATAAATGAATTCACTGCATCCCAGTGTATTTTGTTCCAACGTGAACTCGTGTGAGAGACATCAGGTGCATCTTAGCCAGATGATGCAATTTATTTTTACTTCACAGGAACCAAGAACCAAGTGCTCCCTACTTTACAACCCGTTACAAATGTCATTAAGATAGGCTGCATTGACTTAACTACAGCCATGGTCTGTGCTGTAAAGAAAATGGCCAAGAGTGAGAATGAAAAGATCAAGGTTCCAGATCCAGCTACACACTAAGAGCCCAAGCCACCTTCACGGAGTCTCCATCTCTCATCCCTTGAGTGGAGCTGATTATACTCTTCAAAGTCACTTCCAGCTCTAAGGAGTCTGTAACACTATAACCCAAATGTGCTAAAGTTTTGCTGCGGGCAGGGGAGGAGAGATCCTAAAAAGAAAATAGCCTAAAAATAGAGAAAACGAATGTCTAACATTGTAAAACTAAAAAAATCACAAGATTAAAATGTTACATACTTCTGCTTTCCACATTCAACACGGGAAGGTATCAAAAAGTACACCCTACCCTGGCTTATACTCCAGACACTGAACAGACACCTGGAAACCAATCCAAATGAAGAACTCTGGGCGGACAAAAATTCACAGAAGTTATATAGATGGCTTGACACAGTGATTCTTTACGCTCTCTCCACATACGCAAGGATAAAACTGTGAAAAGTATTTGGATACTCAGACTTTTGTGTTCTAGCCTGAATTATCCAAATAAATCTCTGAACTTCAGGAATGAAAACACACACTGGACAAGAGACGATTTTGATGAAATTGCTAAAGTCAACTGTTAAATTCCTCTGTAGCTTTCAGAAAATGCGAAGAGAAAGCAATCGGAAACATCACGAGTCTATTTCAACTCCCCAACAACGTCCCCACGGGCGACATTTTGCCATAAACACTAAAAACGTTTTGAAAGGTGTCTGCCTGTTTCGAAAGCTACTAGCAGAGGGGCAGAAAACGAGAACTTCTGGGGGGGGGGGGGGGAAATGCCTTCTAATTCCCATCCCAGGGATGCCCAACAACCAGTTTTAGCCAAAGCAGGAAATAAAGGAGATGGCGGGAGCGTACGCAGAGAGCGGAAGTTTGCCTAGTATCTACTTTGAAGTGTTTGAATGGACCGAGACACAAGCTCTCCCGCCAAACTACAAATGCAGTGGCTCCAAACCCCCAGCCCTCGTGCCCATCAGGTATACTCCACATTTTCCTTTCTCCCGCAGGCCCTCTACTCTCCCTTCCCCCGAGAACTCGTCCGCACGCCTCACTCAACTCCCGCCACCCCCATCCCAACCTACACAAGAATCCACGCGCTTCCCTCACTTTCTGGCCTCCGCGTTTCTCCTTGCGGGGCACCCCGCCGCCCCCCCCCCACCCCCGCAAGGTCCTCTCCGCGGTCGCTCGGCCTGAGAAATACCTGGTGCCCTTGGAAGGGAATACTCCCGCCGCGCCCTCCCCCACCCCCTCCAGGCCTTACCCGGGAACCCAGGCCACGAGGTCCGCGGTTCCTCCCGGCTGCTCCCCTCGAAGTGACTCTTGCTTGGCTCGGCCCGGGGAGGAGGCGCCCTCGTGGCCACGCAGGCCTCTCCACCCTCCCGATTGGGCCGGGCGGCGGCCGCACCACACATCTCCCCGCGCCCTTGCCCAGCCGAACACCGGGAGTGGCGCCGCTTTCCCCGACCCGCCGCTAGTGAGCCAAGCCCAGAGGAAAACAAAGGGTCGGGCTCCAGGGCCGACGTGGCTAGGCCGGCCCTGGCCCGCTCTCCGCGGGGACCCCAACAAAGCCCGAGCCGCTGCCTCGCGCCCCCGGCCTGGCTTACCCATCGGTCCCCGCACGCTTCTTGCCGGAGGGGTAATCCTCCCCCAGGTCCAACCGGTGCCGCTTGGACATCTTCGGACTCTGCAAGCGCGCGGATTTGAAGGAAGAAGAAAAAGAAGCTGGCGGCTGTATTGGTACAGTCGAGGGCAGCTACTTAACTCTGGAGGACCCCCACCCCTCCCGCTACAACAGCCTACACCGTGCGGCCGGAACCAGGAGCTAAAATGGCGGCGGCGGCGAGGGCCGGGCCTGCGCGCGCGCTTCCGCAGCGTGCTGTGCGTGCTATGCGTGCATGCGTGCGTGGTGCGCGCGCACGCATCGTAGGCGGGAATCCCAGGCCCGCCCTCCTTCCGCCTCGGCGGCTTCCTCCCTCCTGAGACCTCTGTCCGCCAACGGTGCGGCTGCTCAGAGGTATATGTACTATGGCCTTCCGGCCTTTCTGATTTGGGAAATTCAGAGAGGAGACAGTCTAGTCCTGCTTAGGAAATTTTATCCGTCTCCATTATCCTGGCTTTAGGGGAGTCTGACACCATGAGAGGTTAAGAAACTAATCGAGATCATGACAGCAAAAACAGGGCAGAGCCAAATTTGGAACCCAGTATTTTATAACTCCAAATCTAAAAGAACTTGCAGCCACTGACCAGACCCCTTTCAATTATGTCAGGGAAACTGAGGTGAGAAAATGTCAAAACTCTCCGTGATCCCTTTTGCCCCCCCCCCTTTTTTTTTAACTAGCACGGGCGGCCTGTATTCAATCTATATTTTGTTTGTATGTATGTTTTTTTCCCAGAATAGAGGAAACTGGCAGTAAAGGCGTAATTTGCTTTTTTTACCCCCTGTGTGCCTATTATGGGATTCCCCAGTGTTAACCCTACTTCTGCCCTCATTTTTACAGTGACACTGCAAGGTAGGTGTTAATAGATGTGAACACTGAGCCTGGGGAAGGTAAGTCATACGGTCATAATAGCTATCCGAAAGCCGTAGAAAATTGTTGGGGTGAAATGACTTTTATGACTTTTGTGGGTCTCTGCACCCAGAGCATATGTTTCCCAGTTTGAAGGCTACCATTAAGTACTTTAAAATTTTGGAGAAATAGGGGCGCCTGGGTGGCGCAGTCGGTTAAGCGTCCGACTTCAGCCAGGTCACGATCTCGCGGTCTGTGAGTTCGAGCCCCGCGTCAGGCTCTGGGCTGATGGCTCAGAGCCTGGAGCCTGTTTCCGATTCTGTGTCTCCCTCTCTCTCTGCCCCTCCCCCATTCATGCTCTGTCTCTCTCTGTCCCAAAAATAAATAAACGTTGAAAAAAAAAATTTTTTTTTAAAAATTTTAAAATTTTGGCGAAATAATGATGGAGAAGTAGGAATTCTATCCACCCTAAGAGAATCAGCCTGTCTTAAATGTGCAAGGAGACCTGGTGAAGGAGGATCTGAAATCAAGACAGCGATGCTTCCGCCTTGGTCCTAGGTCGTACTGAAAGAAAAGGATAACCTAATCAATTGTGTTGTAATCTGAATGAAGAAAAGCCATACCTACCAAAAGATAGTGGCCTTTCTGGAATCTATAATAAGGGGAACAAAAAGCCAAAATCTGCCAGAACGTTCTCACTGCTTGGAAGGAGGGGCAGAGTCCTGTGCCTAGATGCTGGCCCTAGAAGAGAGAAGAGCCACCCACCAGGTCCCTAGAGCTTCCTGGAAATACCAGCAAATATTTCCTTTACACCAACTCTTTATCTACTAGACAAACCTTTGATCTATTATTTGTCTGTGGCATGAATTTATTCACCTGGAGGGAACGTCTTATGCAACTAACCAGCTCCAAATGTCCAGTCAGAGATGCCTTCCAACCTAAATTAACGATAATGAAAATAGCAAATGCATGTGAAGAACTTAATGCATACCAGACACTGTTTCACGTACATAAATATTTTCTTAAGTTCATTTATTTATCTGAGAGAGAGCGAGCTGGGGAGGGGCAGAGAAAGGGAGAGAGAAATTCTCAAGCAGGCTTTGGGCTGATAGCGTGGAGCCTGATGCAGGGCTCGATCCCACCACTGGGAAATCATGACCTGAACGGAAATCAAGAGTCAGATGCTTAACCGACTGAGCCACCCAGGCGCCCCTGTTTCTTGTATATTTTAACCTATCTGGCCCTTACAACAACTTTCAGCTAGGTGCTATGAGCTAGACTTCCTTTACAGATGAGGAAACATGCACAGACAGGGTTAAGCACTGTGGGCAAGATCACAGTTCTGGGATTCCCAGACTGTATTTAAGTGCTATGCTGTGCTGCTGCTAAGTAGGTATTCTTATTCCACATTGTTCTCCTAGAGTTTGGTTATTAAGGACAAGTTCCACGAATCTGACAAACTCAATGTGGACTGATAAACTGAATTTTCGACATTGTACGAGGGGAGGACTCATTTACAGAGCTCTGGGTAGACAAGTTAGGATTTGGAAGATTTGAACCCAGCCTGACTACAGAGCCACACTATTAACCACTACACTGCATCACTATTGTCTGTCTTAATTACTTCATGTACTTACTCAATGACTGTTTATTAAACCCCCATGTCAGGCACTGAGTTTAGTCCTGGGGAGACTAGACAGAACAAAATAGTCATAGCTCCTGCCTTCGTAACTCTTATCAAAGGAAGAGAGGCATTAAACAGCTACGTACGAAAATACCTGTCATTTGTTAAAGTTCTGATAAGCGCCAAAAGGGCCATCTAAAGGGGACAGGTGCTCTGCACACATATAACAAGTGGTTCTGACCAGAATGAGTGTTAGGGGAGACCTGAGAAAAAGACATGTAAACAAAGACCTAAAAAACGGGTACAAATTGGTCAGACAAAAAGAGGAAAGCATTCCAAACAGAGAAAACGCCCGTGCAAAGGCCCCAAAACTTTCAAAGGTCAGATGCAATCCATAGACCGAACAAATGACTGCAACGAGATGAGGAAGACATGATCCTGCAGATCCAAGAAGGGACCACATCATGCAGAGCCTGAGGGGTTTTGCTAAGGACGTGGAGACTTTATCCTTCCCAAGAGAAACAGGAGGGCATCCTAAAGTTTTAAGTGTGAAGACAGTATGATCACCCTTGAGCAATTGCCAGGATCAGTTGCCACAAATCCCCCGCTTTGGATTCTCTTTAGCAGCAAAATGCCTACTAATTTGCAAGAATCTTCAGTACTGCCTTTAATCACCCTGTCCTCTCTCCACCACTTAATGGATAGAAATGGTTACAAAGTGTAGTTGGCACTATGATTGGCCATGGAAATCCTGCCAAGAGTGAAAGACATCCCTCAGTTCCCAAGAAGGCTACCTGCAGACATCCTTTAGCTGTCAGCTCCTTTCAGGAAGCTCATTGGCTAAGGGAAGGTCCCCGATGGCATTTTGAATACAGTGTGGAAGTATATGCGCCTCGTCCTTCTTCCTAACTTGGGACAACTGTGAGCTCCAGAGTCAGAGCTCCCTGCGAGGTCATCTGGGGCTGTTGTTATAATGGCATCTTCTGTACTGCAATACGGTTCGGTCGGTAACCACCCAGAGAGTTAGCTCAGACCCCACAGTTAGGAGTATAGTACTCAACAAGACTGGCCTTGCTCCAGATGCCATCCACAAGTTCCGGGGGCCCAGGCCACCTGCACTTCTGACTAAGTGGCTGCAAATTCAGGTTCCCCCACAACCCCCTCAGGTTCACTAGTTTGCTACAATGACTCACAGAACTCAGGAAAGCACTATCATTATAAATACAATTTTATTATAAAGGATACGAATTAGGACCAGTCAGATGAAGAAATAGCATGAGGTCTGGGAGGGTCCTGAACCCAGAGCTTCTGTACCCTCTGCCTGTGGAATTAGGACACATCACACTCCCAGCACGTGAATGTATTCACAAACCAGGAAGCTCCACCAAGTTTCAGTATCCAGAGTTTTTACTGGGGTTTCATTTTGTAGCCATGATTGAATCATTAGCCCCATGATTGAACTCAATCTCCAGCCCCTTTTCTCTTCCCTAAAGGTCAGGAGGTTGGGCTGATGTCGAGAGGCTCAAAGCCTCAAACTTTTTTTTTAAATTCTTTTTAATGTTTATTTTTAAAAGAGACGGGGGGGGGGGGAGGGGAAGGGCAGAGAGAGAGGGAGACACAAAATCTGAAGCAGGCTCCAAGCTCCAAGCTGGCAGCAAAGAACTGGATGCAGGGCTCGAACCCACAAACGGGTGAGATCACGACCTGAGCCCAAGTTGGCCACATAACTGACTGAGCCACCCAGGCGCCCCTCAAAACCTCAACCTTTTAATCACAGGGTTTGTCTTTCTGGCATGACCAGCCCTCACCCTGAACCATCTTATTAACAAACTCAAATGTGGTCCAAAGACCCACCATAAAATGGCAAAAACAGTCCTATCACTTGGGAAATTCCAAGGGTTTAGAAGTTACCTCTCAGGAACCAGGGACAAAGGCCAGTCAAATCCTGCATTATGCAAAAGCATCACAGCCCATCTTTTTCACTGTTTGATCCTGCTGTCCTCTCTTCCCTTCCACCGGTGTTGGTCCTAAGTGTACTCCTTAATAAACTTCCTTAACATTGATCTTTGCTTCAGAGTTTACTTCTAAAAAAAAAAAAAAATTTAATGTTTATCTATTTTAGAGAGAGAGAGGGAGTCACAGAATCCGAAGCAGGCCCCAGTCTCCGAGCTGTCAGCACAGAGCCTCACGCGGGGCCCGAATCCACAAACCACGAGATCACAACCCCAGCTGAAGTCGGAGGCTTAACCGACTGAGCCACCCAGGCGCCCCCAGAGTTTACTTTTCATGGAACCCACTTGAAAAGATTTGGTTTCAGGAACGGTCCAAGAAAGCAGACGCCGTGGTTGCATTTTGAAGTTGGCCACTGGTCGCCGGCCCACAATGAATCAGTGTTGATGGGTAGAACATAGCTACCACGAGAAAACAGGGCAATTGTTAAAAGTTTTGCCCATGGTGTACTGGCAAAGAGCCTGTGGTATATAGTGAAAGAACATGCATTGCTGTCAAAATATGAGGGAAATAGTAACTGTAAACATATAGGATGTGATGGCTATGCTAAATGGAGTTGATGCTTTGGAGAGATAATCAATGATTAGAGTGGTAGATCTGCAATTCAAAGGGAAGTGTGAACACCAGAAGACCTTCTGGGAGCATATAAAGAAGTTCTCATCTCCTGCAGTGGGAAGGCAGAGAACACTGAGGACCAGTCCCAGGACTTAAACCTGACAGTACAGAAAGCCAAGTGGAAACTTGCAAAGATTAAACTCTCAACTTAGGCAGACGTGATATGTCAAAGGCAGGGCCCTGGTAGGGAAAGAGTGGAACTGTCACACATGGGATGGGGGCACTTAGGTTGGTACACCTGAACAATGTTGAATTTCTAAATTCCCTTCAACCTGCTGAGACTGCCCAAATGCCCCACTCCTCCCTATTAAAAGCTAGTGGTCCTTGCTTGTGAATTAGTGACAGGCCTCCTGTCTGCGGGATAATAATGCACTTGTCTCAGGATATACCCCCACTTCCCCTGCTGACTACTAGGCAATAAAGTGAAGTCACAACATATGATATTCCAGGGACATCTTAGGGTTGATAATATTGGAAAGTGACCCTGTCCCACAAAGGCTGTAAGACCTAGCTAACAGGTACCTGCAGGAGCCAAGAGGGTGTGCATGGCAACAACTAAATTTAAGTGTAAGGGACACATTAAGACAGGAGATACAATAGGGGCACCTGGGTGGCTCAGTAGGCTAAGCGTCCGACTTCAGCCCAGGTCATGATCTCATGGTTCCTGGGTTTGAGCCCCGCATTGGGTTCTGTGCTGACAGCCTGGAGCCTGCTTCAGATTCTGTGTCTCCCTCCCTCTCTCTTCCCCTCCCCCGCTCTCACTCTGTCTCTCAATAATAAATAATAAACATTTTTTAAATTTTTTAAATAAAGAGAGGAGATATGATAGAATTATATAAAATGCTCAATTTAAATCACGGAAGGCAAGCAAAAGAACAGGTGAAAAAAGAAATAAAGAAAAAACTATAAGGAATAGAAAACAGTTACAAAATCAACCTAGGGAAACAAGAAAAACAACTTACTTTAAAAATAAGTAAAGGATTCAGAAGAACCTGGGTGACTCAGTCCGTTGAGCTTACTTTAAAAATAAATAAAGGATTCAGGAGAACCTGGGTGACTCAGTCAGTTGAGCTTCCGACTTCGGCTTGGGTCATGATGTCACAGTTCGAGAGTTTGAGCCTCGAGGTGGGCTCATTCCTGTTAGCAGGGAATCTACTTCATAGCCTCTGCCCCTCCCCCTCCCTTTCTCAAAAATAAACATTTTTTTGAAAATGGGGAAAGGATTTTAATAGACATTTCTCCAAAGTAGATACACAGATGACCGATAAGTACATGTAAAGATGCTCAACATCACTAGTCATTAGGGCAATGTAAATTCATACCACAATGGGAGGGTCACCTGGGAGGGACACCAAGTGTCCGACTCTTGGTTTCAGCTCAGGTCACGATCTTGTGGTTTCGTGAATTCAAGGCCCACGTTGGGCTCTGTGCTGGCAGCTAGGAACCTGCTTGGGATTCTCTCTCTCCCTCTCTCTCTCTCTGCCCCTCCCCTATTTATGCTGTCTCTGTCTCTCTCAAAATAAATAAATAAAACGTTAAAAGAAAAAAAAAAACACAATGGGAAGCCACTTTTACACCCATTAGGATGGCTACTATAACAAAACAAATATTGGCAAGGATGTGAAGAAATTGGAAACCTTGTGCGCTGCTGTTGAGAATGTAAAATGGAGTAGCTCAGTTGGTTAATGACTCTTGATTTCAGCTCAGGTTGTGATCTCATGGCTGTGAGATGGAGCCCCGCGTCGAGCCCCGCATCCGGCCCCCTCTGTGCTAGGCATAGAGCCTGCTTAAGATTCTCTCTCTCTCCCTCTCCCCCTGCCCCTCCCTGCTCCAAAGGACATGTATTATATGATTCCACTCATGTGAGGTGCCTAGAGTGGTCAAATTCATAGAGACAGAAAGTAAAATGGTGGTTGTCAGGGGCTGGGGAGAGGTAGAAATGGGGATTTCTTGTTTAATGAGTACAGAGTTTCCATTGAAACACGAAACCTTTCTAGAGATGAGTATACGCACAACACAATACCACCGAACCATATACTTAATGGTTAAAATGGCAACCATCATGTATATATTTTGCCACATTAAAAAGAAATGAGAGAAAGAAGGTAAAAATTGTTGCTTCCCTTAAAGATCTGAAAGATGGATGGGTGGGAGTCTGCATCATACCTCCATTTAATTTACTGGTCTGGACGCTGCAAAATCCAGCCAGATTCTGGAAAATGGCAGTTGACTATCGCAAACCTAATTAATAGCGTCCCCAATGGCAGCTGCTGTGTCAGGTGTGTTACCTCTGCCAGAGCAGATTAGCATGGACTCAGGTATGTGACATGTGGCAGTGATCTGGCAAATCCACCCTTTTTCTATCCCTATCAAAACAAGAATCAGAATTCACATTCCTTTGGAGTATGCAACAGTTTCCATTTATAGACTTGCCCCAGTGCTGTGTTAACTCTGCCGTCCTCTGTTATAACAGAGCCTAAGGAGACATGAACCAGCTGGACCTCCCACAGAATATCACACTGGTCTGGGAAATTGGTGACATCATACTAGCGAGACCAAATAAATGAGTGGCTGGGAGTCTGGAGGCCTTGGTAATTCACATGCACTCTTGAGGGAGGCAAACCTTGAAAGATTCAAGAGCCTGCCCCATAAGTAATTTTCTAGAGTCTAGTGATCTTCGCTATGCGGGGACATCCCCTCCTCGCCATCATGCACAATGCCTGCCAGGTTGGTCTCTTCAAGTTCTAAAAGCAATATACTCCGGGGCACCTGGGTGGCTCAGTGGGTTAAGCATCCGACTTTAGCTCGGGTCATGATCTCGTGGTTTACAAGTTCAAGCCCCGTGTTGGGCTCTGTGCTGATAGCTCAGAGCCTGGAGCCTGTGTCAGATTCTGTGTCTCTGCCCCTCCCCAGCTCATGCTTTGTCTCTTTCTCTCTCAAAAATAAATAAACACTAAAAAAATCTTTTTAAGAAGCAATATGTTCCCAGAAGTACTGCTCCAACTCACTGGGTGACACAGCCGGAAAGGACTCTGCCACGGGTCCAGGCTGGAGGGCAAACAGCTAGCCTTCTGGGCCATACCGCTCAGCAGATCCTATGGCATTAGGGATATCAGTGACGGAAAGAGATGTCACATGGATTTTACGTAACTACAACTGGAGAATCACAATGTGGATCCATAGGATTCTGGATCAAAACCCCATCAACTAAGACAGAGAGTTGAACACCTTTCACAAAACAGCTTTGGGAGTACTGTCAGGCCCCAACCGAGGCAGGTACCTTATCATAGAACATCAAGTGACCATGACACTAGAAGTACCCCTCGTGAGCTAGGTTCTATGACTTTCTCCAAACCATAGAGTAGGATGGGCCCAGGTGGAAGAGGAACCTTTAGGACTGGACATCAGTAAAACCAGAAAGCTCAAAACTGCCAGAGCGGGAAGCGGGCATGTAGCTCAATCATCCGCCCCCCGGTCTACACCACCCCTCCCTCAGCTGTAATGGTATGCTGGAGCCAGTTCGCACCAGCTCGCGCGAGCTCATTGTTGAATTTTCAGGAATGTTGCCATCCCGCTGACATCCCGCGGATAGTTGGAAACCGACCACAGTAGAAGTATTTCTCCCACGAAAGTGAGCCAATGCTGCAAATCACATATTTTTTTCCTTTTCTTCAGTAAGCTGCTTGTTACATATTTACCGGGACACCGCCGCTCATCTCCCCTCTCAGTGATCGGGTGATGCAAGAGGGAAAAGCCTGAGATGGATTCATAAATGGCTCGATTGGGTTCGTTGGTGAAAGCTGGAAATGAACAGAGGCTGCACTGCCGCCTCACTCAGCATGGTCCTGAAAGATTAGCGGTAAGGAGATGTCGTCGCACTCAGTCAGCCGCTTTGCCTGCGAAGAAGTGAGAACACAGGGATTCGGGGGCAATGCTGGATAGCTTGACCATCTGGTCAGGGGTCTGGAAGCAGAGAGCTTGGAAGACTGGGGGGACAATGGTAGACAGTGAGGATTAGGGTAAAGCCATGCAGTTGAAGTGGGCACAGAGTGCGAAGACCTTTATTTCATATGCTAATGCGTATCAGAGAACATCCATCATAGAAGAGGCACTGATAAACCACATATCATCCGGTGATAGACAGGCCCTCTGTCATCAGCCACTCCACTGCTCGCTTGATGGGCAAATGAATGAAATTGTCATGGTAGCAGGGATGGAGGCTATATGTGGATGCAACAGCCTGGGTCCCACGTAACAAGGCTGATCTAATTGTTGCAACGACTGAATGTCCAACCTTTTCATAACAGAAACCAGCACTGAATGCCCAGCATGATACAACTTCTCCAAGAGACCGAGAAACCGCTTGATAACAGGTTAACTACTTTGGATACCCTGGCAGGGGTAGCCATTCATTTTGCGAAGAATAAACACATTTTGACAAGAATAGGTATGGGTTTGCTTTCTCTATCCACAGATCCTCAGCCAGTACCATTATCCATGAGCATATGGAATATTTAATCCCCCATTATGAGATTCCACATACTATTGTGTCAGACAAAGGGACCTACTTAACATTAAAGGAAATGCTGGAACAGACACATAACCAGGAGGTACACTGTTCCTATCACATGGTGCAATACCCAGAAGTGATGAGTATGATGGGATAACTGGCTCAGAGACAACATCTTATGAAGATGGCATGCCATCCACCATAATGCGATGCACATCCTAAATAAATGACTTTGGGGGCATCTGGGTAGCTCAGTCAGTTGGGCATCCTACTCTTTTTATTTTTAATTTAATTTAATTTAATTTTTTTTTGACAGAGAGAGAGAACGAGAGTAGGGGAGGGGCAGAGAGAGAGGGAGACATAGAATCAGAAGCAGGCTCCAGGCTCTGAGCTGTCAGCACAGAGCCTGATGCAGGGCTTGAACTCAAGAACCCATGAGAACATGACCTGGGCCGAGGTCAGATGCTTAACTGAGCCACCCAGGCGCCCGTGGACATCCTACTCTTAATTTTGGTTCAGTGCTGAGTGTGGAGCCTGCTTGGGATTCTCTCTCTCTCTCTCTCTCTCTCTCTCTCTCTCTCTCTCTCTCTGTCTTTCTGTGTTCTGTCTCTGTCTCTCTCTCTCTAACAAACTAACAAAAACCCCACTAAATAAATGACTTTTATATGGTGCTGTTTCCCCAATAGGTAGAATACATAGATCTGGAAATCAGAAGTTGGGAGAAAGAGTATCCCCACTTTCCTTCACTTCTAATGATTCATTTTGAGAATTTGTACTTTCCATTCCTGAAAGTCTGGATTCTGAATAATTAAGGGTCCTGGTTCCTAAAAGGGAATACTCCTACCATGACCGTCAACTGGGCTCTCTAAGCTCTTCATGCCAAGGGACCAGAAGGCAGGAAGAGGAATCACCATCCTGGCAGAAGTAATTGGCTTTGGTCACCAGAAGGAGATAAGGCTGCTGCTACATAAAAAAGAATATGTTTTCCACTCAGGTGATTCATTTGAGCGCCTCTAGATACTCTGTTTTCTAAATTTGATAATAAATATACAAATGTAGTAGCTATAGCCTGAGAATGGCATAATGACCAGGGACTCAGACCCTTAAGATTTGAAGGCCTGGGTTTTATTACCAGGTAAGCCATCAGGAGCACCCAAGATGCTGCCTGAGAGTGAGGGTAAAGTAGATGGGCAGTAGAGGAAGGAGGCAATGAGGATTCATTGCAGCATTGAGACCTATTGCAGTGCTGGTGTCTGCACCCCTCCTCACCAGGGTAGCCTATGTCTAATGACCTACTATTATGGGAATGTCAGTCTCTGTAAACTGGACCCAATTGGAAGAGCTATCCTAGCTTTGGAGTTCCCACTGGGATTGACGTCAGCCTTTTGGGGGACTCTCACAGCCACACTTTTCTCTCTGTCCAATCCTACATTCTTCCCTTCCCTTCCATTTGTTTTGATCCCTGGAACACTCTCTTATACATTTCCTACGTGCTCATCTCAATGTCAGTATCTGCTTCCCAGGAAACCCAATTTAAGATATTAGAGTTGGTTTCCTTATTTCAATATGTATTTTCAATATATATTTCCTTATATTTTCAATATAAACAACCTCCAAACACATTCTAGATGACTTGTCAGAAAGTTTGAAAGTTTCATATATTCATTCATTCATTCATTCATTCAACATACATTTCCTCAGTGACAACTATATGTCAAGAACTGTTCTAGATGCTAAGGCTATGGTGATAAACCAAATAGAAAAGATTCCTGCCTTTGAGACACTTATATTCCAGTGGAGAACAATAAACAATAAGCAATAAATTGATAGGATAATTTCAGACATTGATGAGTATTTTGAGGAAAATAATACAGGATAGTACGATAGAGAATGACTGAAAATGCTACAAGGGAGTATATTGAGAAGGTAGCTAGGAAAGAGTCCTCTTAGAAGTTGCACTTGCCAAAGCAAGAGGGACTCAGCCTTTTTAGGAACTTGAAAAGAATATTCCAGACAAAGAACTGTAAGGAAGGAAATTATTATGAGTGTGTTAACAATAGGAAAAGACCAGTGTGGATGGAGGTGGTGAACAAGAGAGACTGGGCTGAGATGAGCTCACTGAGATAAGCAGGGGCCAGATTGTGTAGGGCCCATGGGTCATGGTGAGGAGTTTGGATGTATTCCAGCCTATTTCTGTTCTACTTTTTAATAAGTCACTTTAGCTACCATTTACCATTGGAGAATCAACTATGGGAAAAAAGGCAAAAATGGGAGCAGGGAGACTTGTACCGAAGCTGCTGAAGTAGCCCAGGTGACAAGTGATGGTGACTAGACCCAGATGATGGCAAAAGCAGGCAAGATATAGTTGGATTTGGGTTCTCTTCTTGAGGCAGAGCCAACAGGACATGCTAATGGGTTGTCTCAACAGAAGGTTGAGAAAGGAGAAAGAAAGAAGAATATGGGACATCTGATCAACTGGGTTTATGCTGGAACTATTTATTAAGGTGGGTAGGATTGTGATGGGGAGTCGGAGGGAATGAATTAAGAGCTCTATTTTGAGGGGCACCTGGGTGGCTCAGTCAGTTGAGCGTCTGGCTCTTGATTTCGGCTCAAGTCATGATCTCATTGTTCATGGGTTCAAGCCCCATGCTGGGCTCTGCGCTGACAGCATGGAGCCTGCTTGGGATTCTCTGTCCCCTTCTCTCTTTGCCTTGTCCCACTCACACTCTTTCTCCCTCTCAAAAATAAGTAAATAAACATTAACAAACTTTTAAAGTGTTCTATTTTGGTTGTGCTGAGTTTGAGATGCTTATCAGACTTCCAAGTGGAGATATCAAGGAGGCAGCTAAGCCTACAACTAAACCTTAAGGCTGGGGATATAAACCTAGGCGTCATCAGCATAGAGATGTTATTTGAAAACATGGAACTAGGTGAGATCATTCCTCCATGAGTAAGAACCAGGCCCTGGAATCTTCCTGGCATCCTTTCATCTGCCAGAGAAGGCAATGGAGGAGAACCAGCCATCAAAAACAGGCCCCTTAAAATAAGAATCGTAAACATCTCGAGAAGAAAACATTCCATGTTTCTAGGAAGCCCAGTAAGGTAGGCAGGACTTTGGCTCCATGATTTTCATTCTCTGGATGTTTCGCCTATATCTATTACATCATGTGGCAAAAGATACTTTGCAGATGAAATTAAGCTCACAGACTTTAAGATAGGGAGATTATCCTGGATTATGCTGGCAATCCCAAGGTAATCAAAAAGGCTTTAAAAATGGAAGAGGAAGGCAGAACAGTCAGTCAGATTGATGTGATGAAAGAATGTGATGAGATTCAAAGCATGGGAGGGAGCCAACCCTCTGTTGCTGGCTTTGGAGATGGAGGAAGGGGGCAATGAGCGAAGGAATGAATGTGACCTCCACAAACTGAGAACAACCCTTAGCTGATAGCCTGCAAACCAAACAGTTCTATGACCACAAGAAACTGAACTCTGCAAATATTCTGAATAAACAAAGGAACAGATTCTTTCCTAGGGCCTCCAGGAAGGAATGCAGTCCTGCTGACACCTTTACTCTAGCCTGGTGAGTCCCCTGTCAAACTTCTGTCACATAGAACTATAAGATAAATTTAAGCTGCTAAGTGTGTAATAATGTGTTACAGTGACAGTAGAAAATGAACATTGAAATAAGATGGCACAGATACCTGACCACTGGCTTTGGAACGATGGAGCCCATTGATGACCTTTACATGAGCTGTTTCTGAAAAATGGTGGGGATAAAAGCCCAGACAAAGGAGTTGAGTGAATGAGAGATGAAAATATATGACACAGAGGGATAGGTAAAGCCATGAGTTTTGATACAACATCCAGACCCCAGAGAAAGTGTTCAAGCTGGTAAAAAATAATATTGAGTTCCACCAGCAAGAACTCAGACCACCTCAGGACTGGCAAACAGGCCTACTGCCAACATTTAAGGGATCTGGATCAAGGATACAAATGAATGTTCCTGGCCTGTGGTATGCACACCTTCTCTCCCTTCCTTCATGGACATCCCAGCCCCATTGTTATGCCTCCTGTCCAGGTTCCCAGGGATAGGGACTCCAAATGGCCACATTCCCTTGGCCCTCTAGACAACTGACCAAGTGGGTGAATACTGGCTCGAAAAGACCCCCGGTGGATCCCTGACTCAGGGGGTCATAAGAATGATCATAAGATCTGGGCCATTCAGGGCTTGAGCCCTGGTTCCCTGAGTCTAAGGGAGACCGTGCTCTAGGCTCTAGTATTTTGTACCAGAGTCTCCCCCTCTCATGTCAACTTTATAAACACAGCAGCAGAAAGCTCAGGGTAGCACC